GCAAAAGGGGAACGGGGCTGGTAGGCGTAAACTTAATCGATCACGTCTGGAGAATGTAGGGACGGCGGTGCTAGGTCCTTTATCGGGCCCCATTCGTCTCGGGGCCATTTCAGGCACCACTTAATGGGCCAGAAACTGGGATCTCCAATCCTTGGCTCCTGGGGGAGGGGGCGCGCGGAAGTGGCCGCGCCGAGCGGCGAGAAGCCCGTCACCGCGATGCCGTGCTGCGCCGCGAAGCGCACCAGCTTGGGCTGCTGGTTGTACGGGTGGAGCTCCACCTGAGGTAGCGAGCACGGTGCCGTCGGGAGGAGGTTTCCGCGACGCATCCGACGGCGTGCGGCGCCGCCTGCAGCACCGAAGGCGGCTGCGTGGCCGAGGCGAGCAGGTCGCGAAGCAGCGCCTGCAGAGACGGCTCGGGGTGAGGGGAGAGGCGTCTGTCGCGAGCTCCGGCGGTCGAGAAGGGGCGAGCGCGGTGTTGAAGTTGCAGACGCCGATGTTGCGAGCGAGCCCAGCGGGCAGCGCCTGAGGAGGGGGCGAGGCAGGGGAGGGCCGGTGAGCACGCTAGGGTGGCACGAGAGTCGAGCCGCGCGGCATCCAAAGTGCGAGGCCCGGAGCGGGTGAGTAGAGCGAGTGCGTGCGTGCGTGAGTGAGTGAGCTGAGTGCCGCGCCTCCTCCATCGCCGCCCACGTCGAGGCGAGAGGGACGGGCGCGAGCTCGACGGTCGGGGTGGGCGCGTCCGGGTCGTACACCCACTCGGGCGGGTAGCGGACCTCAGGCGCGGGGAGGGCCGTGGGGCGGCGGCGGTGAGGGTGTCGAGGGCAGCGGCGGTGCGGCGGTGGGCGGTGGGAGGTGATTGAGAAAAAGGGGCCGGGAGCCGCGTGGCATGTCTCTGCGGCGCGCCTCAAACGGCACAAACCTTTGCGCGAGCGGGAAGTGCATCAGGAACAGGTCCACGTACTCGAGGCCTGCGCACACGCCGCGGCGCTGGAGGGGGGGTGCTCCTACGACGAGCACTCCTCTCGCCTCCCGCAGCGGAGAGGCGGTCAGGCACCGAGGTCGGAGAGGGAGCGGCGCAGCGCGGGAAGGACGTGCTCCGGCGCGTGGTACGTGTTCCACAGCTTGGTCGTCACCTGGCCCGAGGGGCTTCCTGGCTGTAGCCGGAGAGAGGTGCGACACCTCTCTCCGGCTACACTCTCTCAGCGGCGCGAGAGGCGGTGGAAGCGCGTGGGGGCTGAACGCGCCCACAGCTGCTCCCTCGTGACCAGCCCCTCGGCGATCGCGCGGCGTAGCCCTGCTCCCACCTGCGTGCCACCCGCCAGCGTGCTGAGTGCGTGAGGAGGAGGAGCACAGCGCCACAGGACGGAGCCTCGCCTCTGCCTCATTTCCGTAGTCGCACGCACAGTCAAAGTGGCGATAGCCAGCTTTGATGGCGTCCACCACGGCATCCGCCGTTGTCTCCCGCGGCACCTTCCAGAGCCCGAGCCCCACGACCTGCGAGCGAGAATGCCGAGGGAAGTGTGCCGCAGCCAGGTGATTGCAAAACGGCGGCAGCGGAAGCCCACACCGGCATCTGGTCCTTCGAAGAACGCAGCGTGAGGGTCTGCATTGCTGAGCACGAGGTTGACGGGACGGCCAGCAAGATGGCGAGCATGTGCGGGACGAGGCCAGCAGGCAACCACTGATCGTCCGCCGGCACCGGGGGCCGCCCAGGCGAACAGAGAAATCGCAGCGCGCCTGTCTGGAGGCGGCAGGATATGCTGCGAGGAGGGCAGAGTTGCGCCGAGAGGCGAGGACAAGGGATCGGCAGGCAGCGGCGGCGTCGCAGAACGAGGCAGAGGAGAGCGACGCGACAGAGGAAGAAGCGACACGACAGAGAACGACGAGAGTGGGACGACCGCGAGGTGGCATGAAGGTTGCAGCGAGAATCGGCGAGGGACTGCGAAGAGAGATAGGAAGAGGCAGACGGCCAGACGCCCAAGGGTGGGCGACGGATAGCGCACCACACCCCTCTTCTTAAAATCCCTGTGTGTGGTGGCGGCGTGCCGTTCTCCCATCCCTCCCTTGGGCTGTCCGTTTTCTTTCTTTCTTTATAGCCCCAGCCGACCCGCTACCTCGCGGGGGCTCGGGTCTTGCGGCCATGGGTCTCTGCGGCAAAAAATAAACAGAGGCATCTCTCCAGGAGAGATGGGCGAAAGAAAGAAAGAAAACAGACAACCCAAGGGAGGGAGGGGCGACGCACGAACAAGCCACAGTTCGATTTCTCTTCGCCCGCGGTCTCTCTCTCTCTCTCTCTCTCTCTCTCTCTCTCCGCGGGCCTCCCCTTCCCCCTACCGGTAATTTCCTTGCTGGGCGCCTTCCCGTTAAATGGTCCGCGTCTTCCACAGCGGCGGCAGGTACCTGGTGTGGCAGCCGCAGGACATCTACGACCTCCGTGCGAACCACCGCATCGTCGGCGCGCTGATTGGAGCGCCCAACCAGTGCTGCAAGGGCGTCGCCGCAGAGCCCAGCCCGCCGCTCGCGCTCTCGCCGGAGGAGGTCGTGCTGCT